CAATAAATTCAGAAATTGAATCAAACGCTGGCAATATTCTTCATATTGCTGAAAAAATAACACAAATTAAGCTTTTTCAGCTTAAAATTAATACATCTCTTTTTTTTTTTGCTTTTTTTAATGCGTTTTGTGCTGTGTAACGGTAGTACAAAACGCATATTGTCAGAGGGTTCTTCGTAAATTATTATCTCGGGAACTACAAAGTCTACAAAGCTTAAATTTTAGGGTAATGACCCCTTGGCCACGCTCAACTCTGACTATTCAAATTCATCGTTCCCGCGCTCTGGGGTATCACCTACGGCCTTGTGAAAATTTTGGCTGGTAAACTATTAAATCGGGAATCAAGGAAAGATATTCATCCTTCAGTGTTTCGAATTCAGCTTTCATGCGCAGGTGCGTGAAATTTCTAACTATTTTTCAATGTTTCAACTATTTTTGCATAGACTAAAGTACAAAGCAGTGAAAATCATTAACAGGCAATCGTTCGGTCGGCTGAATTGCACGAAACGCATGATCGCACAGGTCAGTCTGCTGCGCGTTGCTATTAAATCCTGCGAGAAGTAGGCGCAAAAAAGTTGTCATAAACGAAAGTAAAAAGACAACGATGGTTGTCATAGAGAGCGAAGGATGCTTGGCGTGTTTCGTCGTGATCATATATAAGCAAGCAGACATGCTCCCTTGAAAGTTTAGCAGCGTACAGAAAAACAACATAACAACCATGTATGAACGTAATATCCAAAAAAATAGGGGATAAATTTGTTGAACAAATTCCGAAATTTTCAACGGAAAGCACGTCGAGAAACTAACGCAGTAATATGCGGATGGAGCACGATCGCTGTATAAATAAGGTGCAACAGAGGTAGCCGCATGGAGTAGTGCAACAAGAACTGTGTGGATTCGATGTTCCGTTTCCTGGTTACGTTTCATTCGCTCGGACATGCCGTTAGCGCTTTTGATCGGTCGTGTTGGCTTCGTTTCGTGGTTGTCGTCGTCGTCGTTTTCACCACCACCACCACCACCTTCCACGTCACTATCCAGTGAAACAACATCATCGCCGGACGATGATGATGATGACGATGAAGATGTTGAAGCACAACGTCTTCGCTTTATTGTCACCTCCGCAACACTCCATTCTTCCAGAATTCGAATAACAGTACCAATCAGACCGAATAACAGTCCGCTTAGATTTCGCATTTCCACTTCATTACCTGCAACGGCGGGGCTATGATAAATATATTGATAATGAACAT